CCCCCCCCCCCCCCCCCCCCCCCCCCCCCCCCCCCCCCCCCCCCCCCCCCCCCCCCCCCCCCCCCCGCCCCCCCCCCCCCCCCCCCCCCCCCCCCCCCCCCCCGCCCTTAAGGTACACCAGTTTCGTTGACTAGTCACTAGTGCAATTAACATCCGATAATTAATTAATTTTCTAAACGTTCGAAAGTCGCACAAGGCGAAAAGGCCAACCGTCTGATATTTGTACACCTTCGTTTCTAGACCAAAAAACCCTGCCTTCGGAGCAATAAATAACAGTCAGTTTTAGGAAATAGTGTCTCTTATCTCGGTAACGGAAAAGACCTAAGCAGAGAAGTATTTTTGAATTAGTCATGTCCTTGTGCTTATAAGTAACTTGCAAAAAAGATTTTTCTTCAACTCGTCTGCAAAAAAACTCCAGTCAAATCTATTGCGACTCCATATGAATACAGCGATGACGCTAATGAGAATCTGTTATTGTTAGAAAGCGATTTATATACATATCGAGTCGAAATAGATTTGGCTGGAGTTTTTTAGAGGGGTGTAAGGGGAGCCATCAAAAATAACCGAACGCGTGGAACGTGGACGTGGACCACATTCTACGCATAGAGTTCTTTTCTATCGATGAGTAGATATCTTTCTTTTTTCTTTTCTCTTAAATGGCAGAAAGACAAAAAGCTGATATGCAGAGAATGGAACAAAGAACCCTGTCGGATTTTAAAAGTATGTCGAAAGAGAAAGCTATATATCAGGTTTTGTAGAGCTTCTCACGGCGGATCTAAATCTGTATTGGAATTGGTTAATACCTTCTGGTTACCGAGATATAGGTGTTACCATGTTTTAGGTCTATAACCGGTATTGACGTAAGAGGAAAAATCGAGATTTGGTAATGTAATACAGTGAGATGTTGTCTTACCCATATTCTTGTAGAGCAATAAAAACTGTACAAACTAGTTCGATAATGGGTAATACAACCTAGGAAAAATGGGTCATTTATGAAAAAAATCGATCATACACATAATGCATGTGCGCAGTAAAATAGCTGTAAAATCCAAATGATATGCAGAACCAAATTGTAATTTTGTCAAAAACTGTATGAGTATAAGCTTTATCTGCCACATTCATGCAGAGATCTGAAATCTATATGCGTCTATGGGAAAAAAAATCTTTACTGAGAAAAAGTATACCAGAATAGGGTATTTTTGGTCTTAAACTTGTTTTTTTCTAATCTAATTTACTTATCAACTAGTTTTAACGCCATATTCGAAATCTCCGAACAAAATTGAGTCGAATGGAGTATTATGCATACGGTCAACACGCAAAAAAGGTTTTTGGGGACAAGAAGTTCTAAGGAGAGTCTTGACGGAGTCTGTCTCGCGAAAAACACATATTTACCGACCAAGTCACATGTAGTTTTATAGAGTGTTGAGTTCTGAACAAAACGCTTCTTTTAGATTTAGTTTATGTTACAAGAGAAAAGTATTTATACTCATTTTATATGTAGTATACATGCCGATAGCGAACATCGAAAGGTCATTGGTGAGAAAATCTTATCAGAAAGGGATACAAGTTTCTAGCTATACACAATTAGATAGCCCGTGAAATTCTCTACAAACTGAACTAGTTAGAATATCCTGACTGAGCGATATCAAGTTTCAGCCTCTCTTAGAATAAACCAAGTTTGACCTTGCTTTCCTCTTAAATCGCAGGGTTAATATCCAGGCTTAGGATGCTATACAAAAGAATAGCTCGAGTAGTACAAGTGTTGATACTTCAAATTTGTCCTACTACTTTTACTAGGACAGACCAGCTGCCCCAAAACCGTCGAAAATGAAAAAATGGCCCTCAGTATTTCACTTCTCCCAAAGGTAAAGCAAAACAAAAGGTTCTTGCACTATAGATAAAAAAGAGCTGATTAATCCAATGAAAAAAAAATTAGGTCAGTATCTACCTTCCTCTTTGAGTATGAAGCCCATCTTTGAAGGCCCTTTTTTTAAAAATAGCCTGTTAAAAATTCTGGATCACCGATCGAGCTCTTATAAAGTCATTCTAAAGTTCCTATAAGTCTCGTTCAGAATAATTACCACAAGCGTGGCCGAACACTCTATACGAACTTAAGGGGCCTCCCTCAAAAATTATCTCCGACGCCGTACATCCGATCATGACGAAACTTCCCATAAATGTTTGGCTTAATGAGTTACGGGAATGAAAAACTTTTTTTGTCTCCAAGTCTTACCATTCAGGGATTTTCTAGGGATCAAGGTTCAAAAAGGACCCCGAAGTGTTTTCCAAGATTTTTTAATATACTTCAAGCTGGAGAGTTTGGGTTTGTTTTGTTTTAAACTAGGCACCTAACTACTTCGTCTGACCGGCGCCGATTTTTCAATTAAGCTTTTATTGGTTTTCCAGGCAACAAACAATCTCCAAAACCCGAAAAAGCCTTCCGGATTTTCTAAAAATCCTTAATTTGATAAAAAACTAAGACCTAATTCAAAAATCGATGCCTAATTCAAAAAGACGATGTAGTTTCTTTTCCTCCTTTAAACAGAAAAAGAATAAATTCTCTATGACAAATCACTATAAAAAATCTTAAAATTAATATTTCAAGTGTAACTCTTTGTATATAAAAAATCATCACGTTAAATGTTTTTTTATTATCTTGAAAATAAAAATTTTCAAAAGATCGAATTTTTCTTAAAAGAAACGTTTTTTATTCAATTTTAATTAAAATAGCTCTGAATATGAATGAATTGCTGTTACTATTTTATGAATGCAGCAAACAAAATGACGTTCCGAGCTACAAACGCATTGAGCATGAATATAAGTCAAAAAGATGCTCACAAAGGATGTTTAATTATGAAAACGAAAACAATGTTGAAAAATGGTATTTTTTACGGTATAATAGAGATATCGACGAACTTGTCTGTTCATACTAGTTATAAACTCATTTTTCCGAATGAGAGTTGATTAGTTCTAATTTCATACACTAATTTGTTAAAATTAAACCATCAAAATCGGCTACCAAAGTTTCTGAACAAGTTCTAGAACATGATTGAATGCAGGATCATCTCTTTTTCTAAGCGCTCGCTCTACTATGATCTGATCTTGGTCACGAGGAACATTGTATTCTTTTAATGAGGTTTTCAAACCCAAGTTCTTGACAAGATTATCCACTGCAAATGCCAATGTCTGAGCATCTTTCTTTGAATTACCAGATGACTCAATACCAATATATGGTAATGCTCGAGCAAGTTGTGAGGCACTTTCTTCATTTTTTGATTTCAGCTCAATGACTGAGCTTAACGTCAAACAGCTGGTGATTCCATGTGGGATTCCATATGAAGAACCAAGAGCATAGCCGAGCGAATGACTCAATCCAATTCCGGAAGAAACTTGTCCAAGTGTACCGAGTGAAGCAAAGGCGGCCGTTTGAAGATGTGAAATAATTTTGAGATCTTCAGGCGCTTCTTTAGACTTTGGTAAATAATTGAATAAATCTCGAATTGCTTCGAGTGCGAGTCTTTTTGTTGGTATATCCACTGCTTCCGGATGATAGAGTGATTCAATGGCGTGATCGAGTGCTCTCAGGCCTGAACTGAGCCACAGCTTTTGAGGCGTGTATTTTCCTAGTTCGGCGTCATAAATAATTGCACTTGGTGAGAGATGGGGATTTTGAACAGCTGTTTTACGGTCGTCTTCTGTCGTGTAACCGGCTATTGAGGTGCATTCTGCAGCGCTTAACGTGGTTGGTATTGCAATGTGAGGAAGCCATACATCTGGATTCTTTTCATTAAGTCTGTATATAATGGCTTTAGCTGAATCAATTGGTGAACCACCACCGATTGAGATGAGAATATCTGCACCACTTTCCTCAACCGCTTTCATGCCATTAATAATCCCCTTTACAGGAGCGTGCTGTCCAATAGACGACAATGTGCCGACATGAGATGACCCAAGAATCGTTTCAATTTGCGAGACAACGGGTGTTTTGGTCTTCAGACTGTGTCCAGTAATGATGTATGCCTTTGAACCATTTAACGACTTCATTTGTTTTGGTAGTTCCATGCTGACTTTGCCGCATGCCATAGATCGAAGTAAAAAAGGAATCCATCTTCCTTCCATTAGTAAGAAATTTGATTTTGATGATTATATTAAAATTCGCGCTTGTGTAATTCTGAAAAAGAAATTTTAACATTAAGTAATTGTTCAACGTGTGCCGATGTCTATAAAATACGAAATGTATCTCATGTTGCCAATGAGAAAAAACAGAAAAGAATTGGAATATTATTTAGATACTTTTTGTATCAAGCTCAAGTTTCCTCCCCTGGATTAGACCAAAATGAGACTATGTTGAGGAAAATCAATTTATTGCTGTGTAAGATAATTGTGTCTAAGATCCACGCAGACCCTTTCATCTTCCGCAAGCATCATTTTTTCGAAAACTGCAATCATTAACAGATGAATTCACAATATTTTTATGTGCTGGTCTATTGACTTTTGCACAGGAGGAACAATTATTTACGCTTTGTAATAGCAACTGGCTCGTTTGTGGCCACGCGGTTTCGCTTTCTTTCATAGTCTATATACTTTTTTTCTTTCTTTTATACTAAGACATAATAGGCCTCTAGCAACAATTGTCAGATGAAAAAAATGAGAATCAATCTTTTCCATTTTGTCATCCTTTGAGTCACCCTTGTGTTTATATAGAAGGACGATAGTTTTTTTCATTCGTTTTATATATATGAAGAAAACTGGTCTTCTGTCTTTTTCAACTAGTGTCTTCTTCTCCTTTTTTTACTTTCGACATCTTCATCTGTTTGTAACCGGACTAAGTCTATACAAGCACAAGGATGACTCACTCATAGGATGGCAAACGGAAAAGATTGATGCTCATTCTTTTTTCATTCCACAAGTGTTGCTTCCTAGAGGCCTATTACCTATCGAAAACAAAGATGAACGATAAGAAAAGAATTTAATTTGAGACGCTGCCGTGTGGCTGGACAATATCTTGACGGCGTAGCATTCTGTGCACGCCAAAATTGATTTTCGTCAATATAGTCGTTTTTTTATATAACCCAGAAAACATATTTTATAAAATCTAGAACATGAACCTAATTCATCTCATCCACATTATAAAATTTAATTTCGAAAATGAAAATAATATAATATACGCTCATTTCTTGACATTCAATTTATATGCGCGAACACGAAATATCAAGCTACTATATAAGAGGAAAAGACGATAAAACTGGATGCATAGCGACTGTTGTTCGCCAGTGGGTTTTTTCTTATCAAAACGTAAAAAACACTTGTAAACAATATTTTAGGCGTTCCCAGCAGAACGAGATCCATGTAGCCATAACGTACTCAATTCTGTTAATAATAAAATATTTTTAATAATTATTCCATTTATCTATTCAAAAACAAAACATTATTTTTATTCTATTATTAGAACTGCAACAGATAGCGATTTTGTTTTCTCATTCACGTTACATAGCGAATCGATTAAAAATAGTTCCAATCTCCTTAGGATCCGTAGAGGGTGTCCAGAAAACGTTTTAGCTTTATTCACATTAGACGGTTTTTCCGTGGAAGCAGAGAAGTTCACAGGGTTTCTCAGCTATAGTGGCTGCGAACGCCGATCGAAGAGAGGCATGAGCATTTCTTTGAGTTCAGAAATATTTTTAGACCTCTGGAATTTTTTGCGTTTTATATTTATATTAGAGTACGAACCTTACACATGAAAACAGAAAAACATCAAGAAGATGGCTTAGTTAGGCCCGCAGCGAGCGCCGAACGAAGGGAGGCGTGATCATTGTCTTCGATTTAAAAGTCACAAAAGGGCATTCAGTACCACAGATCCAGGTTATTAAAGTCAAGGGACCGAGCGAGTGGAGACGAGCGTTACCTTGTTATCATTTATCTAGAAAGAAAAGTACAGTGATATTACACTTAAACAGAAATACAATAAACAGAAATATCAAACGTAAGAAAATGAACTGAATAAAGTGACGTGACTATTTACACGTGATGTATATATACAAACGTGATATATAGATGAGAAAAGGAAAGAACATATACGTCTTATCAGCCTATAACGTTCATACACACTATATATAGGTTGTCTGCTTTTAGCCACAAATGGTCAGTGGACTGATGGCATGGATTGCGTCACTTTCTTACTTTTGTTTTCCAATGCACTTTCCTTCACTATGATTGGCCACTGCAAGAAAAACCAGGCCAGTGGACGTAGCAAGATAAAACTATTAATTTTACAACTGAATTCAATAAATAGAAAATTTCACCTAGGGAAATCTGGATTCCTTACAGTAGATAGGTGCCGCAATAGTAAACATATGGTGTTAGGGATGATAAAAACGGCTGATTGAAAACAGGTCAAGGGCGACGAAATGCACTTTCAAGACAAATTGAAAGGAATCCAAATCGGACCTTTTCCTCTAAAATTTATTTTGTATTTTTGACACTTAAATCTTCTCATTTAGTCCACTGGCCGATCCTTGCTTTTTCTAATGCATTGCTGTATAACCCTTGCAAAATCCGTATTTTACTATCATGTGTAAGCCTCTGACCAAAATAAGAACTCCAAATATCTGAAAGAAAATATGGACTGCTATTTTCTGGTTGGTTTATGCAGAATAGAAAAGAAGAAATTAACAAAGGTCGCTAGTTTATAGCATTCGTTTTTCGCATTTGAGCGTTTCTCTTGTTTTAGAACTTACCTGTTTGTCATCTACACTCAACCTATCTTGCTTTTACAATTATTTCAGGGTTATTGATTTATAAAAAATCAAAGTCTGTCTACAAACTTGAGTCGTTTGAGTTCTGTCTTCATATGCATATAAATAATTACCTGAAACAGCTGAAAATTTTTATATAAATTGCAATTATAACTTGGCCAGGGTCGGATCCAGGACCGTACCGACGGCGTGTCGATTTCTAAACGATGTCGTCCGAGATAATATGAATATTTTTTATAAGGAAGTCTGGTAGTGTACTTGCATTAGAATTCCATTTACGAGGGGCGGCGATCGCCGGACCACCGTAGTGCTAGATCCGCCACTGAAGTTGACCCTATATTGTTGAGTACGGTCTTGATGGAGGAAACTCAAATCTGAAAAAAAAGTGAGGAAAAGGAACTACGTAGACAAGAATTGAATCTGAGATCGAGTGACCTCAGGTTGAATCCTTGTCTACGTAGTTCCATTTTTTTCGCTCTGTCTTTATAACCACTAGGCCACACGATAAATGTTCTCTTTCCTTCTATATTCATTAAAATATATTTTACAGAAAATATTCGAATTTGAAAAAAACTAAAATTTAATTTTTCAATGAATGAAACATTTTGAAACTTGAATTTCAATATCAATCAACAACTCTCTTCAACAGGCTCTTTCAATGTACAATTATTTAGACTCTGGATCCACAAATTCTGTTTCTGAAACTAATAATCTCAATTTTGAAAATACCACGTAGCGACACCGCTGCGCCCATTAATCACTGTGGCATTTCTCTTTTTCTTCTCCGCTTTTTATTAGTCCAGAATGCCGCTAAAATCGATACAGAAAAACAACTGAAAACCAGGAGAAAATCTTAAAAATCAGCTCCTGAAATCACTAGAAGACAAGTCTAAAAAGCAGGAGTCCGCTGGTCAAATCAGGAGATTTGGACAGTCTGGTTTTGTCGTATATATTTTGTGTATTTGCATATATATATATACAAGGTAACGTTCGGTCCCTTGACTTTAGGAACTTATATTGGGGAACGCCCTTCTATGACTTTGAATCAAACGTTTTATCCATAGAATATAGTCACGGGAACAACAATCATCCTTACGTACGAAAAGAAACGGTTTCTTTCTCATTAGAAAATTTGATGCTTGCTTCGTGCTGAACCAAATTGGATAAAAATTCGGCGCCAAATGCAAAATTTGTCGGTGAACCCGACAGCGGGTTTCTTATAACTATACCTTCACTTCTGTTTTGGCGTCCACATAATCAACGTGGTTTTTGCCTAAATTTTATTTTTCTCATTGGTTGAAAAAAAGGCGCCAATGAGAAAAATAAAATTTAGGCAAAAACCACGTTGATTATGTGGACGCCAAAACAGAAGTGAAGGTATAGTTATAAGGAACCCGCTGTCGGATTCACCGACAAATTTTGCTGACACAGTTCCTGATTTCGACGGCCGTAACTTGTTTGTTCCTATATCTAACAAATACATTAAAGCACAGGAGAAAAACGTTAGTGGTGGAAAAAGTTTTGTTTTGTCATCCAAAGTGCTCAGTTCGAAAACGTTTTTTGGTGGTACAAAAGATTTTTATCTACTTCTGATCTCTCTACTACCAATGGTTTATTAAAAAATCTTTTGTAATTATGGTGATATTTATTTATAAAATGAAACTGTATCCGTGCATTTTTTGTGCTTATTTCCAATGGTTGGTTAATTTATAATGGGAAAAATTCAGGTGTTCAGAAAATCGAGTTATCTTGCGAAAGCGATTCATATTTCGGCAACAAAACGTATTCAGGAACGCCTGCACTACATTTTGACAAAAGTTCGAAGTGAACAAATGATTTTTCTTAATAGACTTCGACAGAAGCAGAAACGATTTATTTTAACGCTAATTCCAAGCATTTCGGTCATTATTTCTCACAAGATAGCGTCCTATGCAGCCAGCAGTTGAATTTTGTATTACCTGCATCTAAAATAGTGCCAAAATCCGTATAAAATAAAGTCCCATGCTATGTTTAAGACAACAATCTTGGATACTTATCTCAAATGTCATTCACTTACCTGGAGAAATTGTATGGAAAAAGTAATAGTTAACATATGATAGGCAAAGATATTTTAAAAAGAGCATAAAATCCAATAAAATAATCGTAAACTTTTTGTTTTTATTGCTACCATTTGATATAACTATGAAGAATCAAGATTCTTGTTGCATTCATTTAAGGGTATCCCCTCCCCCACTCTTGTTTCACCTTGTTGCCAAATACGGCACACATCAGATTGAGCTGAAATTTACAACAGACATAGAACATCGAAAAGAAAATCGATGTATTTTT